GCCTAATTTTAGTACTTTTAGTAGAGACAGGGTTTCACCATGTTGGCCAGGCTAGTCTCGAATTCCTGACCTCAGGTGATTCACCCGCCTCAGCCTCCCAAAGTGCTGGGATTACAGGTGTGACCCACCGCATCCGGCCAACGGTATTTCTTAGAGGGCCAATTTAGACATTTGGAAGCTTTTTTTTTTTTTGAGATGGAGTCTCACTCTGTCACCCAGGCTGGAGGGCAGTGGCGCTGCTGTATCCCCAGTGACTTTGTGGTCTCTTCTGCAAAACAGGCCACCTGGCCAGTACCAGGTGAGAATGACAAATAGGCACATGTCACTGGTTCAGGACATTGGGGTTTGGCCACGAGCTTCTGCCCCAGGACAGTTGGTGCTCCATAAATGCTTTTCAAGCCACTGAATGGGTGTTAACACCCGAATCCCAGAAGCTGTAGCGGGCTGTGTGTGCTTGTGATGACGGGGTGCCCTGGCATTTGGAGGGTGATGCCCCTAGGCCCCAGGCAGTCCCTGGGAAGGCCCCTGCCCTGTAAGGGCTGATGCGGCCGCTACACCGCCTCCTGCAGGAAGGAAGACCCAGGTTTATTTTGGTCCTCGGCTGTTCCCCTGGGAGAGCAGTCATCCTCCTGTCTGGCTGCCTGGATGGGAGCGTTTCTGGCAGAACAATGGGTCAGGGAGGAGGAAGGGGAAGGCCAGGCAGCTGGGCCGCGCCAGGTGTCAGCAGGACCGGGGCTGCCCCGATGGTCTTCGGAGTGTGGGGTCAGGAAGGGAGGCTACAGCTGCTTGCCCCCATCCCTCTTCCTGTTGGCCTTGTAGGGGGTGGGGGTTGCTCTTGGGAGCCCAGGCCCTTCCTGAAGCTGTAAACAGGCCTGACTCCCCTCCAGAATCAACTTCTCCAGCCTCACGACTCGTAGATGGGAAAGTCAAGGCCCAGAGAGGGGCACAGCCCTGCCTGGGATCACGCAGCTCCTGAGATGGGCAGAAAGATGTGGGCTCCAGGGCCGATGGGGTCCAGGGACCTCATCCCCAGATGCAGAGAAAGGCCTTTTCCTCTTTGAGTCCCCTCG